CTCTTATTCTCGTTCGCGTTCGACGTTGCAACTCTTTGAGCCTCTCAAGCTGCTTGAGTTTTTTTCTTCTCTCTTTCTCGTTTTCAAAATAGTCAAGGAAGCTAAAAGAATCTTGTTGCAGTAAGGAGGAACTTCCTAGCCCACTATATTTGCCACGTGGGGTCCAGAGGAGCAACTTCCCTAGTTATAAAGACGGCAAATAGAAGCCATAAGCATTCCTGTCCTCTTTGCTAAACCGCATTGGTGGGTTCGATCTTTTGGCGTCAAAGAACGAGGGCTCCGTCGAACTCAGCACATGCGATGCTACACTCCGCATCTGCCTGTCCAAAGACTCCATGCTTTCGCCTCCGGAAAGACTCATGGTTGGGGATTAGAGTAGGGAGGTGGGATCGTAGGTGGGAGAAGAGGACTAGTACTACAACCTCTACCCCTATTTACGGATTCATTCAGATAATTATTTGTCTTCATCACTATAGAATCAGTTGATGCTTGGTAAAACTACAGCGAGGATGCTACAAAGGGATTTCGTTAGGCATACAGCCTAAAGGTAAGGATTCGTTAAGCATACATCCTAAAGGGATTTCGTTAGGAACAGAAAGGTAACAACATTTTCCAAGCATAAGATGCATTCGCTTCTATCGCCGCACGCTCCGTCGCTACTCTCTCCACAGACCGGTTAAACGACTGCATAGATGCTGATAGAGGACCATCATCTTGTTGTCCGAGAACGTTGGCTGCATCGAGGGTTGTTTTCTTCGGAACTACTATTTTCTGTTTTTCTCGAAGACGACGTTCCATTGATTGAGAGCGACCGTCTCCTTCTCCATCGGAGCCTGAAGAAGCTGCTGCTGCGTTTGGATCGCCGAAAAGCAGCTTTTTCTTCGCTTCACCCACTGGACTGCCCGTCGTTCTATTTTCAGTCTGATCCTCCACGACATGATCCACAGGTGCCAGGATAAATTTGAACAACTGCTTCGGCGGTGAAAAGACACGAACAACAGCACGGGGGGATTGCAAGGTCATGTTTTTTACTGACATCGTTTTTTGCTGAGCTGTTTCGTTTTGTCTTTTCGCATGCTGCAAAAAGCTAGAGATGCCCTTGACGAACATGTCTCGCCACTTTTCTTGTAGACTGGACAGTCGCTCAGGCCGTTCGGTCGCATCTCGGTACAAGCGTTCAAAGACGCCCTTGAGATTTTGCGGTCTGTGATCACGCATAAAGTCTTGGAGACCGGTTGACGCAAAGATGGCGTCCACGTTTAGGAGGAGATTAGATGAACGAGGCTGAAGGGATCTTACTACTTCGATAAGATGATCTTCCATCGAGATTCAGAAAATACTACGTTGATCTTTTCCTGCTGATATTATCACTTCTACAAGAAAAGTCTAAAAACCTTTGATCTACTTGTTTCAATTCCAGCATAAGACTTTCAGTTGTTCCATCATGCTGCACCAGGTCTCGCAAGGCTCCCATCTGTTTCTTCAGAGCAGTTTCAGCCTGTGCTAGGCGTGCTAGAGCTTCGTCCAGTTGTGCTTTTGCTGCTGCTTCTTGGTCCCGGAGCATCTTCTCCATCAAGGCTAGACGGGCATAGAGCTCATCAATCGTGTTCTGTTTCTCCTCGTTCTGGTCCTTGAGGACCTTGATCTGGTTGCGGTAATCACACTCCAAAGCTTGCCACTCGCGCCGGGACTTCGAGAGTTGCCGGGCGTCGAGTTCTGTTCAACAACATGAATTTGGAGGTGCCGTTTTTAAGTATCTATAATGTGCGTGATGTTTGTTCAACAACATGAATTTGGAGGTGGAATTTTTAAGTATAATGTGCGTGATGTTCATCTTGCACCAGTCAGGAGATCCTCCAGATTACTCTTACTTTAAGTATAAAAATGTGCGTCAGAAGATAAACTAGAACTACCTCCAGACCTCCAGATTACTTTTACTTACAGTTCTTACAGGCATAAAAATATCGATCATGGTACTAAGTAACTTTGACATTTTGAATAGATAGTACCCCTTCCCGCTCCTTCGCCCAGCAGCCCCTCCAATTCCCCCCTAACTTTATCCAATTCATCCTGCAGATCTTGGTTCCGAGATCGACTCTCACTTAGTTCAGATTCTAGAGCGAATATCCTAGCTTCCAAATCTTGCTTCTCACCATCGCATTGTGTTCGTAGGATGTAGTCGTTGCCGTCTAGCTTATTCTGCTCTTAGAGCTAGGCTACCACGCCGCATCCCTCAGACTATACGTGTGCCCTTTTTCCCCTTGAAAAAAAGGCTATAAGGATAATGGTGAGGAAGGATGCTTGCTGAGAAGTTGCCTTAATGTTCTAGGTCCTGGATTTCTTTGTTCCTTTCCTCTAGTAAAAGCGTAAGCCGTTGGATCTCCTCATCTTTCTCGCTTCTAACCTGTTCAAGCAGGCCCTCGTAGCGTTTGTTCTCGGCTAAGGCCTGTCGGAGGGCCTCCTCGAGAAAGTGTTAGAGAAGTCCAGAAGTTGTTAAAAAGAAGACACAGGAGATATTGTTACGAAGATAGAATCAATCTACTTCTAGAAGTAGAACTAACATTCAATTTCATTATTTAGAACAAAGACCACCAATTGTGTTCTTTTTTTTCTAAACTTCATGACAAAGTAAAAAGACAAAGAACACGAAAACATATCTATCAACGTCGTTTCATAGTCTTCCATTTCTTGATTCCCACTCGCCATCCCATCATCCCCTTCTCTCTTTCTCGCGGCTTCTTCCTTTAAGCGGTTCTCGCGGTCCAGAGCACGCAGTTCTTTGACACGATGCTCCACTAGTATGAATGCTGTCCTTGTTGTTTCCATCTAGGCCGACTATTCCTTGCAATCACTTGTCCCCCTTGCAACGAGTGTCACCAGGAGCAGGATGGTCCTAAGGATGGAAGAAACAATGTTACATCATCCATAACTAGAATGCCACACAATTGCTGCACTTTCCTTCCTAGATGTCCTCCATTGACATCGAAAAACCAAGGCAGCTCTTCTGCGCCAAACTTGTGGTTGTTCTCATCATGCTGCAGACGGTTTTGGTCATGGTCTTGAAAATTAGTAGAGCAATGTAGATGTTGTGGGCGGAGATAAACGTTGAACATAATGATAATCAATTGACAAAAAAAATTCTACTAGGGACCACATATAAAAATGGTTAATATGGGCAATCAGTGAAAATATGGAATCTAAAAAAGTATCTTCATCTTCGCGACGCCTTCAAAAATGTACTTAACAAAGAAATAGACCCCGACAACATCAAGCAATAAAGCCAAAGCAATCACCATCGGTCCATAATCAACCCTTCATCTCCACTCTTTCCACCTCCATCAGCTCCTACAGGCCTTAGCCTGCTCTCCCATACCTCTTTTGGATCCATAAAGCACGCTTTATGCTTCTCGAAATCTGGTAAGCGCAACCACGCATCTGCCATTTCTCCTTGGGATAGGGATGAAGGGTTTTGCAGTCGTAGATCGGCGATTTCGACCGCTCCCCCGTCATCCTTGCCGTTTTTCCAGGCGCCACTGGCTTTTAAGTCCAAAGCTTGGAGGAAGTTGCGGAGAGAGGAAATCTCGAGGAAATACTCGCGTTGGACGTCGATTAGGTGGCCGACGGTTTCGGACATTAGAGACGAGTACTAAAAATATCTAACGAGCAATAAGTACAAGAACGTAGAAGTAGCCCTTAACTGCAATTGCCTCTCCAGCAATACGCAATACGTCAAATCTTCCTCCACCACCTGAAAGGCCAGGTCAATGTTCGCTCGGACGACGAAGTTTAGGATCTCTTCCACTGTATGCCGAATTTTTGGGTCCAAGATGAAAGCTCCCAAAGCTAAAAGCAACTGGTTCAAGTGCGGAACTAGATGCTTCTCGCACTCTCGATTGTAGAGAAGTTCCGTCTCTTTTCGGAAGGACACTTCTCTGAGGCGGTCGCGACGGGAGTTGGCTAGCTCCAGAGCGATTTTGGAGGCCTCCATGGCGCCGTTTGAGGTAGAAGAAATGGAGGGCATTGATTGTCGTGATTATGCCCAAGTACTGGGTGGCTGATGTTCTTTCGCTGCAGCTCCTGAGGGTCGTGATCGTGGTGCTTACTTTCACGATAATGAGAAGTACGAGCAGTCTTCCTCTACAACTGTTTGATATCGCTCTTGTATGTTCTCCGCAAAAGAACGCTGGAATAAAACTAGACTGGTTGCACTAGGAAAGGTTGTACGGATAAAATTCAACAATGTTCGAAAGGCCGGTCATGCTCCTTGTTGTGCGAGTACTAGTAGTGGGACTGGGAAGGTTCTAATCAGAAGTAGCGGGACTGGGAAGCTTCTGATTACTAGATGAAGCATGGTGGCTTTTTGGACAGGGGAAGAGTATCTCTTTCGTCACATGAGTTACGCTTATCTTTCATTCGCTTCTGGAAGCTCCTCCTGAATAGTTGATACCCCACACGGGACAAACCATTCCAATAAAGCACAGATGGAGCTGGTTCTTACAGAAAATCTCAATTCTCAATCAGTGGACTCTGAGGGAGGACCGAATCAATGACCGAGTAAAACTATCGCTCTGGTATTTGGCAACCTGAACTCGATCACAAGGATTCCCTTCTTATTTTCCTCATGATCAAAATCAGGCTATACCAAGTACCAGCACGATTCAATAAAGCAGGAGAAATGACGTATCGCTGACAGTAGCTCCTTCAGTCAGTAGATCGTAACCGAGATAGGTCAGTAGAATGGTGCTGGATATGACGGTCGTTTGCACTTCCATTTTTGATCCAACATCAATTTTCAACCCAAAAAAAAGATGATACAACATGTTCTTTATACAACAGGTGGAAGGATCAAACAATATTTCGTAGCCCGAAGTTCATCAAAGGGACGAAAATTGTTCTCTTCAAGTAAGTGGAATTATGCGATTAATAATTCAAATTCAAATTCTCTACGTGAATAGTTCTTTCGCTAGTGTTATCTAAATTGGTTTCCGAATCAATGTTGCGTTGTTTGAAGATTTTTCAAATCCCAAATACAACAAGTGCCATAGTAGACATAATAGTACATTTTGTAGAAGCGCTGTAGTGTCGATATCAATAAATTATATCATCCAATGGTAGTCGATACATTTCTCATGATCATTCTGGATTCTGATTTTAGTATTAGTACGAAAGAATAAGTTTGCAAATTATCATCATAGTCAAATAGATACATGTTCTCTTGTTTATGGTAAGTCAAAGTCAAAGTTTTCCTCTGTTCATATTTTCACAAGGACCATTGCGGCTACCTAGTTTATTTCTCTGCGTTGGCTACCACGTTTATTGCCTTCTACATATCATTTTTGTGGTGGAGCCGACCTAACTAGAAAAAAGACAGACCAGAGGAAGATAGAAAAGAGAAAAGGGTAACTATCTACATATCATCCGAAAAGAACTCCCTCAATTCGATATACCCACTCATGCTGCGATCGAATTTGTCGAAGATATCCTCTAGTATTGCGTCTGGGACGCGGTCTGCTGCTGACAACCCCAAAACCACTGGAAGTTTCGCTTCGAATTCATCGACAGAAATGCGACCATCCCCATCGACGTCAAACGCCTTGAAACCAGCGCGCATGGGTGATGAAGAGAGGGGTCGTGAGAGGAAGCGAGGGCGAGGGGTCAATATGGGAGAAATTTAACGAAGGACAACTGGAACTGCGTACGTAGGGTTCCTTCATCTTGTACTGATGGAAATGAAAACTTTAGAGTAGTTGAAAACGTAACATCAAGTAACCAAATAACACCACAATCTCAATCCACAGATCAACAACAATGAAATGTTGACTTCAAAAATGTTGTCTATTTCTCTTCGACCTTATTGAGTGTCTTGTATCCATAAATTCCCGCATCGGTTCATGATCTTTGCTCGGATCATATCCGTAGTACATTTGGCATCGATAGGGGCCATGATGACTTCGGTTCGTCTTGACATAGCATGGATTCCGTGAGGTTTTAGGAGGTCTGGCGCTGCTGAAGCGTCCAAGAGATCTCCCTCCACACCGAACATTTCGGGAGCAGAAGCTTCGGCTGGTGAGGAGTGGAGGTAAATTTAATAAGTAAGGTACATTTTAGTCCAACAGCTGCGGCGGTCGTCCAACAAGGGTTTAGGGTTCCTCCAGGTGGTAGTCCAACATTTCAGGAGGGTTTAGGGTTCCTCCAGGTAGTCGTTGGACGATTTAATATATATAAGTTGGTAATAGCATTTAATAAGAGGACGAGCCACTCAGGAGTTGGACGAACCGCTTAGTTGGACGTTCCACACTGAACATTTCAGGAACATTTTGGACATTCAGGAGTCGTGGAGGCAAATTTAATAACTGGGGAGATGGGAAGATTGAGATTCTAGTTTGTTTGATGCTTCGTTTCTCATGATTGAGGGAAGAAAATCTTCAAGTTCGTTGGTTAGCGCCAGTCATGTCATGATACCTCAACATGGAGCGTTAATCAAACGTGTTTGAGGCCGTTCAGCACCAGAAAGATAAACGAGTTTATCAAGTAGAAGCATATCTACTATATCAAGCAGTCTACTTAAAAGCCAACAACAAGTATGTCTTTTAGAAAACGACAACGTTGACATCGACAAAGTAGAACTTAAGTATCAAAATTATCAGTACAATCCCTCCGACTATTCCTCTTACTGCCTTTCGGACTGAGGCCAATCATTCTTTCGTGTGTTGGTTTGAACTTCGAAAATTTCCTAGCAAACTCTCGATAGTTGATCAACCCACTGTTATCCTCGTCGCACATGTGCCAGAGCTTTCGGATCTGGTTTGGCGGCAAGTCGATGCCACACGACTCCAAACCCTTCTTAAACTCCCGCTGGTTCAAAGCGCCGTCGTCTGCGACGGTGGGAAAAGTTGTGAGGTGGGAAAAGTGGAGGAGGGAGTGAGGGTGAAGGAAATGAGAATGATGCACTTGAAATTCTTTCGGAAAATAATATCTCTATCTGTAGTTCCACTTATCCAGGCTACAACTGTTCATCGTGTTCGTTCCACCTTCCTATTCATATCACAAAATTACATTTCATTCACCAGTCAACATTCTATCTATCTTAGAAGCAAAAAAAATGTTAAGTTGTAAGTACTATCTTCATCGAATAACCGGAAAGCGGAAATGACAGCTTGGAACTTTTTGAGGACTATTTCCTTCAACTTTTCCTCGGTCATTGGTGGCGTTCTATAGGTCCGTGGACTTGGCGGCAAGTCAGCTTGCACTCCGAAACCACCTAGCTTATCATTCTTAGAGCTCACGACCCTATATTAATTCCATCTCGAGATTCTTTCATCTCGTGCCGGTAGGTTTCCCGTACTTATGGGACAGCTTCGAGGTTTTCCCCTAATTAATATGGGACAGCTTCGTCGAGAAGATGCTTTAGGAAAAGATGGATAAAATAGGGGAAGCCTTAACATTCACCGTCTTTATCACCCTCTCCGCAAGCCATTCGGGGTTCGGCCACCGTTTCGCTTTTAGCTTTGAGAAGACGACCTGGAAAGGGAGTCGTGTCAGGTGTTGTTGGGTGGATGATATTGATATGTTGACAACAAGTTGTTGTCTCGTAAGTACTTAGAAGTATGTTGCTTCACCAACTGTTGTCATCTCGTAAGTACTTAGGTTGTCTCGTAAGTGTTGCTTCACCAACTGTTGTCATCTCGTATTAAGTACTTAGAAGTATAATGGCATGTTCTTCAGCTAGTTGGCAATGAATAGGGAAAATGGGCTCAACAATGTGAAGTGAGTTCTTGCGAAGCAGGTTGTAGATGTCTCGAAAAATCATGGTCAATACGTGCCTCGTCGAGTTATTCCTGACACCTCCGCGCATCACCGTGACCTCGAAACCGCCAATTCTAGGATAGCAAAATGGCACATCCGCTAATCGTTTCCCATTTATATGGTTTGTCACCATGGAGACAAGGGCTTAGAAGGAGAAAATCGCTGTAGTTCCAATGAATTTTTTTGGATTGGATATCGTACAATTCCAATGAACCTCTTAAAAAGTGGATTATAAAGAAAAGACCATCAAGACAAAGATTACTCAAAATCAACGATGGATAAGGAACTACAACTTCTAACTAACAGAATTAGATCGTCATAATAGAAATTGCTATGATGTGGTGACTGCTTCACGTCCATTCCAAGTGCCTTCGGACCTGGATTCGTTTGTACTTGCAGGTTTGCCACCGCTGCTGAGCCGGCTTTTTCTTGGATGGCGGATATCACTTTGCCTTCGTACTCGTCATAGCGTCCCTCAACATGGTTGCTGCACCAGTGATGGTTAGCGCAGTCCTTGCACCGTTCCAACTCCAAGGTGATGCCACCATGGTGGGTCGGATCCGGGTCGTCGGCCATTCTTGTATAATCTGGTGAAGAATGTAACTAAAAAAAGTAGAGATAACACCTCATGACTTGCTAATCAAAATCTTCAAACTTGATCTTCAACTTACTGCCACCAAGATGTTTGATCTGTTATCTCAAATTGAACTTGCTGTATAATAGGAGCTGGATGCAGGTGGACAAACAGAATTCGGTTTCTTTCGAGGGAATGAGACATCGGCTATGCTTCTGCTAGTCGCTCGAAACCGACTCATCTTACATCGCGTCATCAAACACGCAGAAAAGTGGAGTCTAAGGTCTTTCGCACCGATCGACAATTGCTAGGTCGCGTGATGATGATATATGAAACAGACGCCAGAACTTTATAGATAAATCTTCTAAACCGAATCTTCTAAGACTGAACCTGCTCGGTGTTCTTGTCATCATTTTTACCTGCACCGAGACATAACGAACAGAAACCCAGCGTCGAACATCTTCACCTAAGCAAGTAAGTTGGGATAGTGTTGCCGCATTTTCAGACGGCGGCTGCCTGGTTCAGGTTCAACTTCAAGTCACATCAGAAGATGCAGAACTAATCGTTCGACTCAGATGTAGAGTGCGTCAGCACTTTCTCGAGTAGTTTTTCACCTCTGTTCCTCCAATCTTGCGCACTTAATGTGAGATGCCGCCAATAAAGGGGAGAGATTTCTTTCACCACCCAGCCAGACTGTTCCAAAAGCACGCGCTTCAGAAATGTACGACCAGTAGTGCGACCATGCGTGCCATAATTGACGTAGTGTTGTTCCCCCTGAACTTCTATTGCTATCTTCTTCTTAAAGGAGCTTCTGTCTGCTCTGCTTGGTGCATTTGTAGAAAGAGCAGGTTCTTGATGTTGATCTTGGTCTTGTTCATCTCGTTCTGCTTGGAGCGAGAGGTCAACACGGGCCGCTGGCACGGAATGGTCCAGTAGTACTTTGTCTTCGAGAAACAAGGCGATATCGATGGAGTAACCAGTTTTTTCGCAAATATGTTCCTGTTCGAGACGAATCTTGCTGGATTCTAGGTTTGCTTGTTCTCTTGCTCCCAGTGCATCATGCAGGCAGTCTGTAACGTCCTGTTGAAATTTCGAGATCGTCACTCCAGCACGGCTAGCCTGAAAAAATTTACGCTTGGCCTCTTGCATGAAGCCTTTCAGAGCATCATCTTCTTCCAGGTAAGATTGGAGCAAATACTGCTGGCTATCATCGATGGCACCGTCTCTGGAAAGATGAACGGCTTTCTTTGACTGCAACTCGGAGCCATAGCTGCACAGTGTTCTAAGAGACAACCAAAATAGCCAAATTTGATTATTCTCGACTACGTGTACAACCGGATCCTTCTTGGAGAACGTGACCACATTCGTAGAAGTAGAACCGCAATTGATGTCTCGTAGAAAGTCCAACAAGATCACACAGAATTTGGCTTCGAGCGCAGTTAGCCTTGGTAGCTCCTGTACTTGATGGTCGTGTCCTCGGTCGCGTAGTTCAGACCAACTCTGGAGTAGAGATAATTTCCCCGCTACGAAAACGGCAAAGGCCCAACACAAATTGCACACGTTTTGTAATGTCAACTCATTGGCAGCGCGTGAAAACGAGCCATATATTGACGCAGACCATGACGCTGCGGTAGATGGATGAGGGTCCGTGGTAACCGTGCTGGTCCTGGAAGAGGCGGTTGTAAGGCCTGCTCTCGTTGTACTAGATTCTTCAAGAACAATAATGTCGCTCGCAGCAGTCCAAACCGCGTTGAAAAATTCCGAGGGAATGTCTTCCGCTTGACCTGCGCGCGGGACGTAGTTCAGGGCAGCAAAAGCCCAAATTAGGTTCGCGACATTTTGCAATGTCAGGAGCACGATTGAATGGTTCTTGCGGCTCGTAGTTGCCGTTGGTTCCACCTGATGATCCTGACGCTGAACCATGCATAGGAAAGCCTCAGCAATTGTCGGAAAGAAGCGGTCATCAGCATTGACATTCATTGCTGCGAAGGCCCACGCCAAATTCGTCAGATTTTGAGGCACAAACCTCGCCAAAATATTCCTCTCATCCTTTTCAGCGTCGTCGAGAGAACGATAAAATGCTAAGAAACCACGCTCCACTTCGTCAAAAAGCCGCATCACCGGAGGACTAACACGGTGATCGAAGGAGCACCCCTCGAAGATTGTAGCGTAGGACCAAGCAAGCAATGCTAAATCTTGAGCTTTCACGCTTTTCAACAACTGGTGCTGCGAAACTCGTCGCGCTTCCCCTTCTACTTTGGGAGCAATATAATTCGCGACAGCGTGTAGTAGGCTTTTTACACTTTCAGCTTGCTCCTTAGAAGAAGCATCTTCATCATCGACCACGACGTGCTTGTCTAAGTGGACGTTGAACCTGTTTTTGTCTTGATGTTCTTGTTGTACTTGTGCATGTGCTAGTTGTTTTGCGCGACGCTCAGCTAACGAATGCAAAAAAACCACCAATGTTTGTGCGTCCAGAGGCTCAAGAGCAGAACTATTATTCTTAGAAGTAGGCTGTAATCGCCGGCGGAATTCCTCTACGAGCATATCGAAGAGCAGAGAAATACCTTCGTCATCGTCACACAAGTTTCTCGGAAGGTCTTTCAGGGCCCAAGCTGCTTCGCTGATGTCGCGCCATTTGAACGACCCTGCTTCCAGAAAATAAAAACACGCTTCCAAAGATTTCTGATAAAACGATTGGAAGACTTCCACTTGTCTCGCATTAATTGCATCTCTACTTTGGTGGTGGACCACACAATCTGTGGCTTCTAACCAAGCGGCGAGGTCATCCTTAATAAGACCAAAAGCTTGGAGCAAATTCACAAGTTCCATTACGGAGAAGTCATCACTTCGCAAATTCTTGGCTCCTCTTCTGGCACTTGTTGTGGATGATGTGCAAGTTCTTGTCCTCGTCGTAGCATTTGTACTACTGTTTTCGACGTAGTGTCTTTGACTCCTAGCATTCTGTGCGCCCAAAATACCATTTGCTTCCTCTGCAAGTAGACAGAAAAAGCGCGCGTTTTTCCGGAAAAGCAGCGCTCTCTGTTGAGCAGCATCGATACTTTGAGCGATGCAACTGGAAGATGTTGAGGAAGAAGATGATCTGATACAACTCGTTGATAAGCCTGCGTTGTCTCTTCTGGTCGGCGCGGCCATGTTGTGGCCATCATCGGGATTGATGCTTTGTTGCATGAAAATTCCGCAAAAGACAGTTGCATAGGCCTGTGCGAGGTTCATGACGCTTTGCGGCGAGAAGGAGTTGAACCGGGCTGAGTGGTCGCCGAAGTACTGGTATTGCTCGGAGCTTTGCAGTTCGTCGGCTACAATTCTGAAAAGGCCGGTCCAGAGCTCTCGACAAGGTAGTGCGTGTCGAAACCGAGAGAGGCTGTACGTCAGCATGGAAAACTCTGGAACACTCCACCGTTTTCTAGCCGGACAATCTCGGAAATAGGTTGTCGCGCAGGGCATCAACTTATCACGCAGCACGTTGTAGACCTCTGCTGCTAGATCACCGTCATGTCGCAATCCGAAAGATGAATTAGGACCTCTACTTTCGCCAGAAGATAAGGACTCTGCAAAGATAATTCGCATTCCTACTGCGGTGTTCGCAAATTCCCGGCTCCGATAGCTTCGCATGAGCTGCCCAGTGCGCCTGACCAATGCTTGCAGCTCTCGGTGATGGCGTCTTTTCAGTGACATTGTCAGTGCTTTTTGCTGGGGGTCGTGTACTCCATGTCCATTGTCCTCTTCGTCTCCTCCTTCATGTTGTTTTAGAGCTGCCGCGTCGCATCCTTAAGCCCTAAGTCCCTGGCCCCTTAAATTTTCCCTTGAAAAAAAGACCAAGATTGATGCTAAGGATGCTCCCGCGGTTGGTGCCTTAATCGTTCTTGCAAGAACGTCGAAGATGTTGACAAAGTTGTAGAAAAGCAGGGTACAACAACATTTCCACCACGATTTCCTTGTTGATGTTGCGCTAGCACGTGCCACATAGTCGAGACATTGCAAGCGTCCATGCGGTCTAGAAGAGGGGTCAACTCTGCGAAGAAAAGAGCGAACTCGCGTTCTTTCAAAGTTAGAGTGAGCTTGTACCGCATTGATTATGGGCAGCATCCTTGAGTGAAAGCATGACCTCCCTTGCAGCATTCTTTTTCTAGTGGAAACTTTTTATAAGTAACATTCTTTTTAAGTAGTAGAACAAGCAGAAAAAGTAGTAGAGGACAACGAGGATGATGTGGACGAGGATGCATCTGAGCTAGCCTTAATAAAGGTGTGAGAAAGAAATTTTCCTGGATAGTTTTGTTCAACTCCACGCGCCAGGTCATCTCTGGATCCCCTCTTCGGTTTTGGTGCATCTCTGAACGCCAGCTAGGACTCGATGCACCTTCCTGGTTGTTCCGCCTCATAGGCGGCGTGAAACCGGGGCCATCTCCTCCTCCTCGAGGCATGAGCATCCTGTTCATTCCGGGGCTTACCCCACCGGGACGGTTATTCTTTGTCATTTTTTCCACTGAAAATAATAGATGAAGGAAGTAAGAAGTTTAGCGCAGATGTAATCAAACGTGTGGAAACAAAAAGAAAATAGGAGACATAGCCAGTAGTAGAAGAGAATTTTCGTTAATACTTACTTACTACAACAACATCATCGATAATTCAGAAGAAATGAGAAAGGTAAAAATTTGGATTCATGGTTCTGCGCGTTTTTTACGAAATCAGCATCAGAATCTGGCGCTGCAGCGGCGGGAGTTGTGTTGCCTTTTCTACTACCAGGACTAACCTCTCCAATGTTCGTTTTGTATTTTTCAAGACTTTTGTGTGCTGCTAGTAATCGAGGATGATAAACAAACCTCAAGGAAGGAGCGCTTCACTTTCATCATGACGCGACAGGAAGGGAGGGGCGATCATCGCAGTGATCCTGTCTCTGTAACAAACTCATCGAAGGAATCTAAATGTAAATTCTTTAAGCACAAACCGACGCGGTAGCAGTTCTCGTGCTCGTCACACCATGTCAACACGCAATACAGTATGCAAAGAAGAATGCACCTCTGTATGCACTTGAGATTCCAACGGAAGGCAATTGATGGCTAATCATTGATGGCAAATCTCTTTCTCTACTCGTGATCCACGTTGTTTGCCTAAATAAGTAACTCTTCTTGGAAACACCGACCTGATCATGAATCTTTTGCTTGCGGAGATTCAGTGACGCAGCAAAGTGAAACCATTGTTCTATATTCTTGACATTCGCTGTTAGTTAGAACGACACTGTTCTCATGAGTAGAGTCAGGTCTTCTTTGGAACGATTTATTGATAAATGGCAACGAACTCATTATTTTTCATGACAGCGGCGTGTCGTGTTGCGATCCCCGACCCCAGTTCGTGCGAGTTGATGTTCATTAGTTGTACTATCTGTTGAAAAGCACCCTAAACTTTAGCTTCTGTGCTAAAAAGCACAACATCTTTTTTACCGTACCACCTCCTCAAAGTCTTTTTCACAATGAGTCCTTCTTCTCCTTCACATCGTACCTTCACATCGTATTCTTCTCCATTCCCTCTCTCACTACAGCGTCTTGTCCTCCACTCCCACTCCTGTCACTACAGCGTTTTCTTCTCCATTCCCACTGTCACTACAGCGTCTTATCCTCCGTCACTGTCACCACAGCTGACATGCGTTTGTAAAAACGGACTTGAGGTAGTTGAGGACACGGATTCGAATCGCTCATCACGACAGGTCCTCTACGCAAGGTGCATGCTCCTAGTACACCAGCTAGGTTTGCTGTGGGATCATTGACCTTGGACCGTTCGTAAACGAAACCACCGCAACCGTGAGCAATGAAAAGGTCTATAGTAATTAAAAGTTGTTCCCCAGATGTAAAAGTAGTGTTGCTAGCAGCCATCGCCATTCTTGTGGTTTTTGTCGATGCCGTTGGTTCTCGGAATCCGCAGCTATGGTAGAAGTTGGGTTGCTGCAACAGAAGAAGTGTCGTGATCTTACTTCATCTTAACTTCTGACAGAATGCATGAGGCGGGATAACTCGAGAACGTCGCGAGATCTGTCTTTGTAGTGCTGGACGCAAACAAAATGAGTCTGATATAATCAAAATCGCGAATAAAAGTAAAAACATAACTACGGATAGGAAATTCATTTTCATGCATAATAGGTCCACTGACCACGTTCTCAGTGCATTTCTGTGCGCATTTTTTCAGATGAACGAGTTCGGGATCGCCTGGTGAGTAGTGGACAACGCGATACATCGTAGCGTTTCCACCAGGTTGGTACGTGTTGTCGTCTTTGCTACCACAGTTCTGAGCGATGTGCTCGACATGGGATATGAAGAATCAAAATGGCATAACATGGATCTGCAGGACGTTAATATGACACAGCACTACAAGGACTTCTGACATCATTCAAACGGCTAAAAATAGGTACTAGTGGTCACCAGATGACACACGATGACCACTCGCATAATAATAAGCCTGAGGAAGAAGTAGACGGATTAGATTCGATGTTGAACATTTTGAGGTAATATCTAGATAGTCGCGCTGACTCTACCTCTAGTAACTCGCATAATAATACGCAAGGTAGTACAACTGACCACTCGCTTACTATAGTACTAAAGGTACTTACTTTCTCCATAAACTGTGCGTGCATATGCAAGTTGTCTTCATCTTCGTCTGGATTAGCATCGGCTGGTGGAAGCGTCGCCGGAGCCTGAGTGCCTATGATGACCGCAGCTGGATCTGTATGTTGATAGAGTTGGAGGAGGAGAACACGTTCTTGAGGAAGATTTATAACACGTGTTCCTTCGTTCTCAAATAAAGAAACATGTTAATCTTTTTCAAAAAATGAATTTACCCTTGTGATGTTACAACTAGAGTGAAGATGAAGAATCACACGGTGAGCATACTATAAACGAACGAACTTGAAACTTCAACCATAAGCTGTAGTTGCCGCAGCTGAGCTTGTGCCCCCTGTAGTGCTACCCAGAGTTGAAGTAATGGCGCCTCCTCCTGTACTACTAGATGTTCCTGTCTCGTCCGTTCCAGTTGCTGTGGAGGATGGAAACGTTGAGGCAGCTGAAGCCAAACCCGATGTCGATGTCGTACCCACATCAGCGGTTGTAGATGCGACATTGCCTGCGGTAGATGCTATTCCTGCAGAGGTTGTCCCTACTCCTGCAGTGGTGCTCTCGGTTGTCGCTACTCCTGCGGTGCTCCCGTCGGTCGTTACAGCCCCTGCAGTGCTGCCAGCGGTCGTTACAGCCCCTGCAGTGCTGCCAGCGGTTGATGCTACTCCTGCAGTGCTGCCAGCGGTTGATGCTACTCCTGCTGTAGTGCTCGCGGTAGTCACTACGGCCCCTGCAGTGCTGCCAGCGGTTGATGCTACTCCTGCAGTGGTGCTGGCGGTAGTCCCTACGGCCCCTGCTGTAGTGCTGGCGGTAGTCCCTACGGCCCCTGCTGTAGTGCTGGCGGTAGTCCCTACGGCCCCTGCTGTAGTGCTGGCGGTAGTCACTACGGCCCCTGCTGTAGTGCTGGCGGTTGATGCTACTCCTTTTGATGAGCTTGCAGTCGATGCAACGCCTGCAGATGTGGAGGTCGAAGGCTGCGTGAAAGAAACTCGTCTTCCTTGAACAACCACAGCACTTGTGACGCACGAACTAAGCGACAGAAATTGTCGGAGTCGGAAACTGCACTTAAGTTCGGCGGACGTCGAAGTCTGTGCGACAGTGCCTTTCCTGCACTGCGGTCGGCGGAGTCGTGGCATGATCTTCTTCTTGTTAAGCTTAAGACTGAAGGTTAATATTTTCTGCAAGTGGCGGCGTTGAAAGTGGAAGACTCCTATGATGAGGTAGAAGTCTTCTTCTATTTTGATTGAACCTAGTATTGTTCGCGATTTCTGCCATGCTACTTTGTCAGTTGAATACTAGACGGGCCATTTTTGCGATCGAGCTACAAGCCCAGACCCCATTCAACTGCGAAGAATATGCCTTTTCACCTCGTTTCGTCGAAAACTGGAGGACCCTATTTGCCCGATGTAGTGGTCCCTCATTAGCGAATCTTAATTGTAGTAGTAACTTCTCCTTCTGTCAGTGATAATTGTGCTGGAGCTGGTGGGTCAATCAAGATTGAGGTGGAAAATGCGTGGGATTAGAGGGTCCTTGACTATGACCATATAAGCAATGTAGTTGTTGTACAGGATAAAGGATGAAAATATTCTTTCGCTATGTCTGTTGTACGAACAAGAACTTGAAAATGCGCGTCGTGGTAATATCTATGTGGCCGTTGCGGGGATTCTGATCGATCATCAATTTTCAAACTAGTAAACCTGATGTCACTCGATTTTGGGTATGATATGTCCTATATGCTAATAAACTGTCATTGATAATCTACTCTCGTCAGGCAAATCATTGCGATCATCAACGAGCAAAATCAAATTCAACAATAGGTTTTACTACTTCATCAATACATGAGCATCCTAACATCTTAATTATTGTAGTTTGTGGGGGTGTCTGTCTTTTGTAAACTATGAATGAAAGTTCTTCATTTCTTAGAATTGTTGAATCAGGGTGAGGGACCGACAGGTCCAAATATCATCAAGAACATGACTGTTCATTGGAAATTTTCATGAAGTCAGTTTTTCGTGATTACGTGACTTTTGGATACCCTCTTCTCTACTTCCTTTCTACTTCAAAAACATGATTCGCTATCCTCCGCGATGCCGCAAAACGCTTATAGCTGCTCATTGATGTACAATCCTGACACTCTCCGTCCTAGACTGTGCTATCTCTAAATCTCCAATTTTTTGCACAACTGTTCGAGACGTCAAGGGTGTCTGTCTTTCTCCTGAAGTCGAAGAGGAAGAAGAAGCTCCTGTGGTATAATCGGTACGACCTCGAGTAGCACCAGTCTCTTCTCGCCTACCAGCCACCGCATCCATTACACTGCGAGACGAGGACGACGAGTCTGGATGGTGTCATTGGTGAAGAGGTGGAGGACCTTAAAGCCCTAGAAGAAGTGGTCTCGCTAGTTGTAGGTATTTGTATAATTAGAAGCAGAAGATTAAATGATTTAATGAGTACGTTTTGTACAACGTATAGATACGTAGTGGTAGTGCAAATCCGAGAACTCTAGATGTAAGTATAGTACTGGAGGAAGTATTGCGCGTCTCTGCATCTTGATCACGCTGCTCGTCCCACGACTTTTTCTTATGCCTGTTATCCCCCTCATCGTTCTTGTCGTCATAGTTTTTCCACCATGATGACGAGTTTCGGTCCTCCCATCGACGACCTCCGGAAGTATCATCCTTTGTGTAATCCTTCCAATTGTTCCATTTGTCATCTTTTGAATTCTCCCACTTGTCATCTTTTGAATTCTCCCACTTGTCATTTTTAGAGCGCAGCATTCATTGGTCACTGACTCTGAACGGAAGCGACCCCCTTCAAAGCTCTCCCCTTTCCCTTCGTTTTCGCCTGTTCTCTCAAGGGGTCGCCTCTTCGATCTCAGTGACCAACCCCAATGAGCATTGAAAGTTGAGCCTTAACATTTGTACTCCACCAGTTGCCTCGGTTCCATGAAGACCAGTCATCGTTCCGGCCTCGCTCTTCTCTACTTCCTTTATTGTAGTTGTCGTCCCATTTTCCTCCATCTCTACGGGACGAATCGTGCTGTTTACTGTTTTGCTGAGGGTCTCCTCCTGGACGCGGCATAGGATTTTTCAGTCCTTTACTGTCGTTCGAAGGATTAGAAGTCAATCAGAGTTTCTACTTCTAAACTCTCCTAGGAGCGGGCATTGCTTCTACTAAACTCTCCTAGGAGCTTAACAAGTAGGTGAAGAAAGTCACTATCTAGCACGCATATTCTTCATCAGGGACAAATACAAGCGCAAACTTTAGACCAGGACTTTTCTCGTTGCACCACCACGTCAGTTTTTCATATAAATTTTGCTAGCCTAACAGCGCCCAACCCCTGCGGGACCGCTGGGGCCATTCCGATGGCTTGGCAGTGAACCCGCGGAGCGGGACTCCTCTCCCAAGGATAGCGAAGTGGGGACTCGACAAGCGCCTCCATCAGAGTCCCAACCCTTGGAGGGCTCGGATCAGCACTCATTGTTGTTCATCAGGGACAAATACAACAAGCACAAAGAACTCCAGCATCTTCTCTTTCTACTCTTCCCAGACCCAGCATTCCAAGATCCAATCCATAATGAAGCTCCCATCCTCGTTCAATTCTGGAACCAAATCACGCCAAGAGCATCCGGCTTCAGCGTTTTTAGCTAGTAGGTCCCATTGCTGCATCCACCACGACTTTGGCCGATTGTGCCAAATCTCCGTCTTCTTGGCTCCACTCTCAACGTCATCCGCGATTTGCTGTAGCGCAGAAGGGACCACTTGGTTCGCACTGCGAAGCATACTGTAGTTTTTGCGAACATGGATAATTGTTTGAAGGGCTAAACCTACGGGTAGATGGATTGATTCATCTCTGTGTTGTACGTAGTTGTAATCTTCCGAGATAGAAGTAAGGACAGTAAAAACAGGCAACCGCAAATAAAAATGAAAAACTGAGTATAAAGAAAATTACCCAATCAACCCTTTCGCATTCTCTGGCATTTTCGCATAATACGAAAAATATATCAATGCTTTCCCTTTCGCGTCACGGCCTCTCGCAGTACGCCCAATGCGATGGACATAATTCTCCAAGGTTTGAAATTCATAGATGATCACATGCGTGATGCCAGAAACGTCTACACCACGCGCTAAGACGTCAGTGGCTACCATGATGCGCGCTTCGCCATTGCTGAATTCCCACAAGGCCTGGGAACGCTGCCATTGGTTCAGATCTGTCATGTGTCACATGTCATGTCATAGTATGCCCCTGATAGTGTCGCTCCTAACACCCGTAGAGACAAAGTCTGAATGTAGTGTAGCATAGCATGAGTCTCACCTAGTCTTACATGTACTATCTGGGAGACTAAACTATATCAAGGACACAGAAGTGCCTAAAAATTGTGAACTCCTCCATGAGGTAATTGTGGGCTCATCAATATCGAAGCAGAGTCTTGAATGTAGTGTTTTCAACTATACTTACTACACTTAGGTGAAATTGAAACGGTAGTGTTCTTCTTCATGAAGATAGAAATAGAAACTCACGACTTTCTTACGGGCTTCATCTTCCAGGCTTCATCTTCAAGAGTATGAGAATCTATGTACTTATATATTTATAAGGAGTACTTAACTACAGTTGTAAGTAAAAATAAGACCATAACGTCGATAGTCACGAAGTCTTAGGTAGAAGACCAACATCATTTTTTTTAGTTGGTGAGACTTGAGAGAGTACCTCCGCTAATATTGACCACTTTGACATCGGGTCCGTACTCCGCGAGCATCTCCACTACGCTTTGCACGTCCCGTTTTGCGTTCATGAACAAAACCATCTTGCTTTCAGGATTTTTCTCGAACTCACTGCTCACGTAGCTGCACATGTGGCGCCTCTTCTGGAGATCCCTACTGCCATAATCGTCCTCCCACACCACAACCTGTTGCTGAATCCGTTCGTCTACGGTCAGGTCGACCCCTTCGTCTTGTTCTACTTCATGTTAGAAATGAATCGAAAGTAGAAGCTAGTTGAGTTGTACACAGAAACTGAAACTTCTACAAGAGAGTCTCTATAATGATCTGATTGGACTAGCACTAAATATAATGATCTGACGGGACTAGATTGTAGGAGTAGGTCGTTAAGTAAAAACTAACTTCTGCACTCTCCATAATTCAACAAAAGCTGTTTTTGCCCTTCTCGTCGTCCCGCAACGTGATCGCAAAGGAGAGCACTGGCAAGGCCTTCTACATGTTTTGGCCAGGTGGCAGAGAAGAACATAGTCTGATAGGGGATGCGGATGCGAGAGACGATTTCGAAGAAGGAATTAGAAGAAGTAAAAGCGGCAGGAATTATTATCATGTCGCATAGAGGTAGAGGCAGAAGTAGACGTAGAGGTAGAAGTAGATGAAGTTGTACAACTTAGAAGTAGAAGTGCCTGATGTAGAAGATTTAGAGTAGCTACTTACGTAGCAAAAGGAGTCACCTCCACCCCAATACTGAGGGTGAAACAAGATTACCTTTTCGTTAATTCTCACCCGCCTGAAAGGAACTCGGCCATAAGTGTCTCCTGAAAGCCCTCTTCGAGCATTTTATCTGCTTCGTCTATGGCTAGAAAGCCGCACTTTGTGACATCCAATTTCGTGCCGTTAGTTGTGAAGAGAAAGTCTCGGAGTCGTCCGCAAGTTCCAACTACGACTTTGGCCCATGGTAGAGCGTACTCCTGGTCACGTCGTGTTCGCTCGCCACCGACTAAACAAACGGAATAGCTGAAGAAAGGTGTTCTTGAGGAAAGATTCACATTCGGGAAAACTACATTCTTCTACATCTAGTACTACCTCGTCTGACAATGAAATTCAAACGCAAAAAAAAAACCTATAGTACATTTGCGACCCCTTCGCTATTTTCTCGAATTCCGTGTTGATTTGTTGTGCCAACTCGCGCGTTGGTGCGCAAATCAAAGCCATGTGACCCCAATTTTTGTACAAGTAGCACAGAGCGGGTATCAAAAAAGCAAACGTCTTTCCACTAGCATTAGAGGAGCTAGCAAAAATAGTTCATCTTCATCGTCGATCATATTTTTTGTGTCCACAGAATCCAAGAAAAAGGAAACTGAGGCTGAGGCTGCGCCTGCCCCCCCCTAACGCTATCTAACTATCCTGTGTCTTCAAACGCGAGCCTTAATGCCAGTTTTGGCTACGCCAGTCACATCATGCGAGGCCAGAGCAGGAGGGATGGCATAGCGTTGCACAAGCATGGGGGTGGCCAGTCCATGCTTCTTTAGATTGCGACGCAGCCAGGACGGTAAAAGTGTTTGTGCTGAAGTCTTGTATGCAGAGTCGTTTGGTCCGTTGTATGCAGAGTCGTGTGGTCCTGTGTTTGAATTAAAGCTCAGCATTCATTGGTCATCATGACTCTGAACGGAAGGGACCCCCTCCAAAGCTCTCCCCTTTCCCTTCGTTTTCGCCTGTTCTCTCAAGGGGTCGCCTCTTCGATCTCAGTGACCAACCCCAATGACCATTGAAAGCTGAGCCTTAATTGAAGCATCCACGACCATCTTGCCATCCAACGGCAGCTCTGCATATTCATCGAAGACAAAATCTTCCATGGTGCTACTACCTTTATCTTCGCAGTCAATTCTCTTATTCTCCGGCGTGATTTCTATCCATTTCGTGACGACCTGGTCGTTTCTTTTGTCCTCCTCATTCGCAATTCGTAATCGTGGAGTCCTCGCGTCAGGCATTTCCTCATGCTGTGGTGGCCGGAAAGTTCTACTAGTCGTTGTCGTTGTCGTGTTGTAAGTGTAAGACTCAACATTATCGTTACTCCTTGAAGAAGATGAAGCCGCTGCCGGAGCACTAGGAGCACTAGGTGGCCCTCCACGTTGATCTTTTTTCCCAGCTTCTACGACCTCGCAGTCGTCCTGCAAGCTTGTTGCATGATGATAATCTTCAATATGACACGATGAAACATCTGGCTGCTCGTCTGCGACCCCAACATGATCGGTATTTTTCGGGAACCTGGATACCAATTCAGATAAAGCGTCGCGCAGCGCTTCATGCGGGCTGCGCAAATGCTCTTTTTCCAACTCCTCACGTTCGCTAGAACAACTCCTATACTCTGCGGCCACCCTCTGTGCTGCCGTAGTAACCCAAATACTAAGAACTTCTAGCCATTCGGCCTCTATGGCATGAAGAAGATCGACTTCGCTGCCATTTTTACTGGAAGCAGAGGATGTTGATATAACAGCTTGTTGTGATCCCAGTGCTGGTCCCACCAGTGGAGCTATACATCTAGCGATACAGCCCCCAGAGGACCCATGATATGCTGCAGCTAACTGACTCCTGATCTCTTCTTCTTTATCCAAAGCGAATCGGACAAGCTTTTCCCTTGTTCGAGCACACGAAGCTTTATCTCCTTCGGGACGAGTACTATGGAGATGGATTCCCTGCCCTTTGACCACGACGTGATCTCCTTCGGGACGAGTACTATGGAGGTGGATTCCCTGCCCTTTGACCACGTGGTCATCTACCACACCTGGTGGAGTAGCAGCAACGTTGTCATCCACGACCGGTGGAGATGTCGCCACAACCGTTCCCGCTTCAGGAGATGTGGTCGCTTCTGAGTCGTGCTTGCTGTCCTGCTCTGCGTCAGCTTCTGCTGTTGCACCTTCAGCAGCCTCTGGTTTTGCAGGCGGAGTGGACGAGGAAGATGCAGCTGGGATGCTTCCGGCATCAGGCGGCATGTTGTCACCTAGTTTTGAAGAGGTTGGATCCAAGAATAACAAGGGCTTATCTTCTGTTTCGACGTCAGCAACCTGGTGCCCATTCCGAGTATTCTCCTCTTCCTCGCCTACAGCCTCCGGTGGGTGTGGGTCGGTGATATTATCGTCGCCATTGTTCATCTCTAATTCAGCATCGTTGTCCAGATCCCGTCCCACACGACAGGAAGTCGAAGTTTCTTCATGTACGTGTTTTTGCGTATCCACCTTAATATCTACTTCGGCGTCGAGATTATTTTGAGGACCATCTAGTACGTCTTCGTGGTTCTCTCCTTCTTGTTCCATGTCGAGATTATTTTTAGCATCTAGTACGTCTTCGTGGTTGTCCTCTCCTTCTTGTTCCATATCGAGAATATTTTGAGCATCTAGTACGTCTTCGTGGTTGTCCTCTCCTTCTTGTTCCATGTCGAGATTATTTTCACCATCTAGTACGTCTTCGTGGTTGTCTCCTTCTTGTTCCATGTCTTCCATTACATCCTCCGCTACCGCCGTCCAGGACGCCAGACTGTCAGGCGATGCAGGTAATGTCGTTGGAGCTTTAATATCCTTCATTTTGACTACTTGATCTTTTTCCTCTTCTTGTAGTTCGTCCATTTTTTTGTCTTTGTGTAAGAATTAGATGATGCTTATTTGCGATGTCGATCGAGGTTTTTTAACTCTTGCTCCTTGTTCTTCAAAAAGATAGAGTACAACTTTTTAACTACAGCATCGACATTCCTCATTCACTGAAACTTCATCCTCGTCGTGAACGTGATCGTCTTTATTCACAAAAGTTTAAGTTATCAGATCATCCGGCGCACACAACCTGCATGTGTGGCCCTTAGAACACGCAGGGTTCTACTTCAAGATCGTAGCCACGAGTTAATGTTGTCGCTCCGGTACTGATGAGCATTCTCTATCCTGCTCCGCCACGAGTTAATGCTGCATCTATTCCTGCTATTAACGCATCCTCGTCTAGTCCAATAAATGACAAGAACCTAGTATAATTTTCTGTGCACAAGGCAGTGGCGATTAAGTAGAGAGAAAGTGTGTTGTAGCGGGAAATACATCGGGCTAGACGGGCGTATCGCTGCGATACCTTATATAGTTATGTCCTTTTGGCGCACCTCTACATGAGTAGCGAGGAGCTGATAATGCTTGAAAAAATGATAATTACGCATGGGGGGCGCGAGAATAGTCCAGAACAAAAATCATCTCGTCTTCAGCTTCCGAGAAGCAAGAATCTCATTGTCCTTAGAATTCCGAGAAGCCACAAAAACTAGTCGTGTTACGACCATGGCGCTTTCCCTTGCGCCTGCCGCCCTCAGCTCTCCACCTTTACTTCAGGGCTTTCCGGATAACGTTTGCAATAGTGTCTTGATAGAAGCCACAGTGCTTCTCGAAGAGCTGTCGCGCCACGTCGACGCGACCCGTATTCTTCAGGGTTAAGCGTTAGAATGAATCCTGTGTGTATCTAGGGGAATTTCCTCTACTCCAAGAAGGTGATCATCATCTTGACTCTTCTCTATTGCATAGTTACCTTCTTTCAACAAACAATAACAAATGAGTCGTTACAAAACTCCTGCTGTTAAAAATTTGAAAAGTTAAAGTATTGGGTTTGGGCGGTCATCATAAAGATAGATAGGCTTGACGTAGCTGCCTCTGCCATGCGTGCCCAGAAAGGTATCGAGAAGCGAAAGCAGGGCAGAATCTTCGCCTACTTCAACTGTAGGAGCAGAAGCAGCGCGGATGCGTAATAGGATCCATCGAAACAAGATCTCCACATTACTGCTGGTCTCGAAATCGTAGCCGAGATTGTGTTGGCTCGTAGGTTAGAAACAAAACTTCTTCTACTACTTACACCTGATCAAAAACAAACTCAATCCAAGCGAACCTCTTCACTCTTAAATGAACCGAATCAGGTCTGCGTTTTTCGTGATGCTGCCATCCTCTATCACACGATCGAGAAGGACCATGATTTGCTGTGCTTTCCAATCTTGTATGCTAGTCGTGTTCGACGAGTCTCTAGAGCGGATCTTCCCATGACAGACAGCAATGGCCGACAAAAATTTATTCTCCTGGTGCCCTGAGGTCGGTGGACGCCAAGATGGCAGACTGTGATTAGAAGGTGGACGAGACAAGATGTGATGCACACATTTCTGGCTAGCAAGGACGGGATCGATATCATAGTTCAAAAAGGTAAGCGGGAAGAAGAACAGCAAGAGTTCAGTAGCATAAGAGCTTGTTGATCTTGAAGGTGTGAGGTCGATACTTTAATATGAAGAATCTTCTAGAGTTTTCAGTTTCTCGATCTACTCCATCCATCCATAACTTCTCCATGTAACCAGAGATCCCAGTCGATTTGACCTTCGGATTCTGGAAAAAACTCTACGAAATGTCGTCGCATGTCTGCAGTCTCTAGAGAAGAACGTCCAAAATCCTCCAAGTACTTGTAAAGCCACTCGCTCATTCTTGTTTTGCTATTGTTAGAAGTTGCAGCTGCTTAATAGTAGTCGTGCCCAAGTTTATTCGTGAGGAAGATAGATGATAAAAGACAATCTTCTTCATCCACTTTGCAGTTTAACCACTTTGCAGTTGCCTTAATCTTGACAATTTCGATTTCGAGAAAGAGTAGGAAAAGTGACCCTTTCTCGTAGGGTACTCGGGAAAAAGCCTCATCCGGATCAACGCCTACAAGATCCGGCTCCAAAGCGGTGAACCGCCCTTGTCCATTGTCTTGCATCAACTTCACGTTCTTTAACAAGTCGTTGTACCTGGTATTTTTAGATTCAGAACATGAAGAACAAGATTGGATGCAATGTTCTAGGCACTAGGACTACTCCAAAATTCCAATTGCTTGTCGGAAACAAATCGGACTGAGAAAGTAGTCTATTTGAGGTAGGTATTTGGTGTTCGTTTATCCCGCTTGTTATGGCTGTCCCCCTTAGGAGAGCCATAACAAACGGTAAAAAAAGCACCTTTAACCTGTACCCTTAGGTCTAATTCTTCAAGAAAGCACCTAAAGAGTTCGTTGTAGTAAAAACTACCCAACTTCCAAGCACAGCTCACGAAAATCTTCGCCAAAGCACACTCCAAGAATCCGCCTTTCCACGTATCTCGTAAACCCCTCATTCAGCCAGAAATCCTTGTGATATTTATTCGTGACCAGGTTCCCAGTCCAGCTATGCGTGATTTCGTGTGCTAAAGTGGTTGTCAGACTCTGATCGCCAGCTAAGAGACTGCCACTGAATTAGAAAAACTACTAGTAGATTGTTGCCCGTTGAGGTTGTTGAGTAGACTCCTCTTCCTTTCCTTCCTCTGAAAATTAGTAGTTCCCTGGAGGAAATCCGAACAGCAACAGTGGAATGATGATGTGCTTATTTCTCGAATATAGTATACCCCACAGCACTGAAACTGAATCATATTGATAATTATCTTAATGAAAGAACAGAAACTATCATGTATACCCATTCCCATAACTAAAGAAGGTCACATTCGGGTTTTCCATACCGCCAAAGCCGAACGAGTTAGGCATAACCGCCACGTTGAAAGAACCCCAGACGTAGGGACTCCCGAGAAGGACGTCTTTTTGGCTTAGAAGTTCAAGAAATCATCCATCAGTGACATACATGAACTACAGCCTCCAACTCAATATCTTCAACCAACTAGCTTGTATGGCTCTGGTATTTTTGGTATAGCCTGAATTTGATCATAAGGGTTCTCTTCTTGTTTTCCCTTATGATCAAATTCAGGCTATACCAAAAATACCAGAACCATTCATAGCTTCAACCAACTAGCTTCAATCATAACAGCACCACTGTCATTTCATAACTCCGCAACTGCCAAATATTTGTCGCACACTCCTGAGAGTTCTTTTGTCGCTTTCTCAAGCAGTTCCGGTTCGGCGTAAACGTAGGACTTTGCGCCAATCTTTGCGCGGCCAAGACGCCCTGCCACGAAGGCAAGCAAATAAGCAGGTACTGGAATATCTTGTTTGTAATGGAAGGCGCGGTAGGTCTTTCTTGGGGGTTTGGAGGAAGTCGACGGTGTCTTCGCGGATGTGATGGCGTTTTGAGTATCTTAGACGTAGTCAGGAGGTCTTTGGTTTTTCATCATTCACTGTGTTGGTGAGTGCTCTGATGTGCTTTGCCGTTTTAGAATTGATGGATCTGCTGTCTTCCCAAAAACTATTCTGTGTGCAGAAGTGCCACTTCTGCACACAGAATATTAACTACATCGGTCAGTCACAGGATGATGAAAAAATCTTAATCGCCTAGTTATTTCCCTAGTCATCTGTGTTTCCGAATACTGCTTCTGGATCCAACCCTTTTTTCTCACTTCCCCCAACATCTTCAGCAGCAACCTCTTCTATCCCAACAAGTTCGCCTGAGCACACCGCGACCAAAGGGGTTTCGACTTTTCTTAGACTTTCACGAGATAGAGCAGATTCTCGTTTTGACGCGGCCCTTCTGTGTAAGTACTATTAACTTCTAGCCGAAACAGATGGCGATGTTGAGTCATCTGCTCCTCTTCTGAGTTACCTATTTTCAAATGTTCTAGGTCTACTCACTCCTTCTTCATTCCTGTATGAGTAACACTACTCCTCTGTAGAAAAATCCTGATACAACTGATACTCGGATTTATTTTCTACAAAGGAGTAGCTTATTTAATTGAATTAGTAAATGAGGCTTCTTCTACAAAGGAGCACCAGCTTTCTTACGTTATGATGCGCATGTAGCTGTGCCTTAGTTCCAACGCGAAGGAAAACGTATGTTTCACTGCTGGGCTATCCTGACAGGGGACGAAGCTTCTGGCCAAAATCGCCTGCGCTTGAGAGAACACGAGCGGACACTTTTTGCCCAACGTCTGCGACGCGCGTAACCACTGCACCGCAGATGTAGTCGAGGACGAGGAGGAAGATGTCGGCGTCGCGATATGAAATGAAAATGATAATGAGATTTACCTAGGACTTTTCAAAGTCAGTATTTCTATGGAGTAAAAAAGATGAAATGAAAATGATAAAAATTATGTTGTATCTATGTAGTCATGCTAATGATCAATTGCGACACGGAGGATACTTATGCTAGTGATCAATTGTAACACGACAGGTCACTTTTCACGTCCGTTCGGAAAAAAAAAATTCGAAAAAACTAGAGACAGGAAATCCTAATCCTCCTCACCACTCGGCATCCTTTACCAACATATAATCTGCAGTAGTAGCGTAATGCCGTAACCATTTGCCGAAGGAGCTAGGGCTTTGTCGAAATCCAGACGCTGACCCGTTGGCGCTGCTGGTGACGGTAGGACCTCTGACGCAGAGCCGTTCGCGTGCTGTTCAGTAGTTTTCGAGGAGCCTCCTGCTCCTCCTGGACTTCTCCTTGTGTAATACTTCAGAAGATTAGAAGACGAGGTGGCTTGCTGGATGCAGTGACGTAATGATGATGAGTCATGGGCTAGACGAAGTCAAATACTTTTTACCACTAAGTAGATGAAGTCAATGAATTAGTTTGTCGCATATTTAGAAGCATATCAAACTTTTTCAGATGATGAGGATAAGCCGTAACCACAAAAACGACAGACGAGTCCTTGCAAGTTTCGGGGAACCAGATATCAAGACTGTCACCAAAAGGGCTCACTTGGCTTCCAACTTCATACCGCGCTGGCTGTCCATCCACTGTAGTGATATCTTCGACGCAGAGAGATATGAAAGGTGGCAGAAGGATTAAGAAAAAGCTCTTGTTGTCTGTTGTCTATTTCCATGAAGATGCAGAGGTGATCGTGCTGGTAAGCAAAAGCATGAGATATCCAAGCGCATAACAAGACTTGAAATGATATCCAATCGGACTCTATCCCCGTACTCGACGTTTCCACCACTGCCCCCGAGTCGCTTCACGTGTACTTTAGCCTTAGAGGACCTTCCGGGAATCGCCCATTTTAAAAGTCAAATCTTGGACCCGTGTCTCCTTTACACGGAGGTCCAAGGGCGATGCTTCTGAAGATGTATTTCCTGAAGTCATAATAGCCGTTGCTTGTGATATCCTCTGGTCATTGAAGTCCAGACGCAGACGGACGTCCAAGTGCGTCACTACTGCAGACTCGAACTCCGCAAAGCTATGGGGATCCAGACTACCTAGGCGGATATTCGCACCTTTTAGATGGAGAGGCATTGTTTGAGTTTGGGGAGTCTGGTAGATTCAAGTTTACACGTCAGAATCAGATGACCACGTCGTGAAAAGAGGAAACGGAGACTCAGTTCTACTTGATGTGCTTTTTTCTTTTTCTGGTTGTTGTTGTTTGTCTATTTTTTGTTGCCAGATAGTTCCTAGATTTCTTCTCTACTCTGGCAACAGGAGCAGGAGTACGTAGTAGGTTAGCTTCAAAGCCAGAAAAGTGGTCTTTTGTATCTCTACATCGAAATTTATGAATGCAGTAAGGAAGCCGAAGCCCCTCGATTGCCTAGTGTAGAAGAGTCGTCCGCTTGAACCCAGTTCCACTAGTTCGTCTTCCTCGTCCGAGCACCAGGGGAGTTTTTATCTTCATCTCCTTCGCGGACAAGACAACCACTTATAATTTGCGCCAAAGTTCACGATGTACACGTTTGTTTATGTTTCACCCACAAATTTTTTCACTCCCATAGCCATATCCAGATGTTGGATGATCATGTTTTATTTGCTTGACGTAGGTAGTAGTAAAAAGTAAAAGTATTCATCAAATCATAATTATGGTCCTAACAGCATTATATCGTGTTCAACAGGAAAAAAGTGCTATTGATCGGGGAATCACGATTCGTCGTCCACTAGTAATAAATTGAGATTGAGTTTGAGCAGTATTGTTCATCGAGATATTAAGAGAATCAACAACATTGTCGTCGTAGGATCTACTACATCGTGAGGTTCTTAGCATCTTTTCGTGACCATGAAAATGCATGACACCATGTTCTACGCGTAGGTCTTCTACTACTTCACTAAAAACGTTAACAACTACCTAGTATTGTAAAAATATTCATTTTCATACACTTGTTACACAGACTTTTTCCTCCACAGCACCTTCGTGTTAGTGGAGACGGCCTATTGTAATATTCATTTTCATACACTTACACAGACTCTTTCCTCCACACCTTCGTGTTATTGTGGAGACTTCTTTTGGGCCTCTTCATGCTCCCAAAGCAATCCCCTGGAAAAATCCGACCAATACACCCAGAACGCCGCCAAGAAGGGTCCTTAGAGAATAGAGGAATGAGCAGCCAGAATCAGATGACCACGTCGTGAATGCGCCCTCAGTCCCTGCCTCTACGTATTCTCTCTAAAGGAATGGGTCAACCCTTGTACGATGGGGTTGAAGTAGTGCTGCTGTGGCTGTCGCAGTGAGTACTAACACCCTAACTATTCATTCTTGAAAATACCTATCTAAGAATCCTTATCCTAGTTGTAATCCTAGGTCATCCACTCGTTACACTTCTACCTGGATCTAGAATTCGTCTCTGTGGCACTAACTGCTCCTACTAATAGCAGAACTCCAATTCATAAAAGAATCATCCACTCATCTTCCTGAAAAACGGGATGAAGCATGCCTTCAAACTCGTCAGGCGGTAAGTTGCCCAGTCGCGTTCTCAAGGTTTCTTCTAGCGAAAAAACCCGATCGGCATACTCCGTAAATTGGCCAGTGTAACGGGGGATGGTCTGACATGGGCGGATTGTTGATATGGGAGGATAGCAAATCGCTGTGTGCAAGAAGGAGCCTAAGCATGACAGACGAAAACACTTCTTATCCTGATCGTGATGTTGTAGGTAGAGGTTCTCCGAATACAACTGCACAAAGGAAAAGTGCAAAGTGACTATTTATGTCGCGCAACACCACGTGACCTCCGTCGGTGAATCTTCAAACTTCAATCACATCTAGAACCATCAAACTTCAATCACATCTAGAAAGTACGTTGATCATTTCCTGCACCACGTCTTCCTTGATTCGCTCGTACGTGTCCGTACCAATCGTCATCGGTATTAAGGCGTCCTTCACCATCTTACCCATTACGCTATCCACTGCTTTGATTTAGAAGGAGTAGGAGACAGTATCGATTAGGGTACTACAGGGTAACTCCTAAGAAGATTAAAAACTTGTAGGAAGCTCTGATGAAGTATATGTGTTGCTGCATGCGTCTTTCATAATTGTAAGTGTGCTCCCGATGCATATTGAGCAGCCTCTCGTATCCGCCTTCCATCTTGTTGTGGTGGATGACGTATTCTATCATCTCCTTACTCTGCAATAGAGACGAGGCGAGGGGAATTAGAAGAGCAGCGGGACGGATGTTCTACTGCTAGTTAGAGCGTTTCTAGATACTGTGCAATTTTAGAGAAGATTTATACGATGAGAACGAGCAGAGGTAATGCGTAGAGAAAAAAAGAAACGGTGGTCGAAGTGTCTAGTGACTGCCTGGTTGCAACAAGATCGTTAGGTCTATTACGTTGGGTATTATACGTGACCGCACTTCAAGATGATCACGTCATCTTGCTTGTAGACCTTACATCCTGAGGATAGACTATCGCCTTAACATACGGCTCAGCTCAGTCGCTACTTGCTTCTGCCTCTTCAAAAATACGCCTTGGAAATTCAGGTAGCCGCAACAGAAAATGTCAGGCTTAGAGCAGGTGCTAGTTCTAGTAGTAAGAGGAGAAGTTAGAACATATTTATAAGTATTATAACTGCAGGTGGGACTAGTTGTAGTACCTAGTAGTACCTACTTAGTAGTCCTAGTCGTGTCCTCTTTTGACTTGCATCCCCTTTTTTAGTCGTGGATCCACCAGCATCTCTAGTTTAGTCTCTCATAAGAGGATGTGTCGGCTTGAAGATCATGAAGATTCCCAGCCAGTTGGTAAGGTACCCAATAATCAACCCTGACAAGGGTAGGATGTACAAGCTGTAATCGCTATCCTGCAACACCTGGAATTAGAGCTGCTGCCAGACGAGTGTAGTAGTTCCATATTCATCTTGTTTGACTACTTATTTTTTCAAACTCTACCAATCAGTTGCAGCGACCATCCCGATCCTTCTCCATCTCCCTGCATGTGACTTTCGCCACATGATTGCCGTTTGATGTTCTACTTACTTCACCTTGTCATCTACCACAGCTACCAACGTCAAGGAACCTGCTGATGAAGGAGCTAGAGGTAATAAACAGATACCTTAAAAAAGTAGCACATGATTTTTCAACCCATAAATCCAAAGACCCAATTGGATAGTCCCGAGACAGAATCCCATGACGGCTGAGACGTGCAGGATGAACTGGAACTCCCGAGCGCCAATTTTCTGGAATAGATCCACTAGTAGTTCACGTTGGGATTAGAGAGTGGGAGTGAGAGAGCTGTAAAAATTGTCGATCATGCTACCTCATCTTATACTTTCTGCTTATTAAACAAGCTAGGAAAGACATAGACATCGATCGTAGGATTCAAATTCTGAGAATACAACAAACAAGCAATCTTGTTCTTGTTTGAGGTTACTAGCAGTAGCATAGGATGTGTTTTCACTTAGCCTTAACGACTCGTCAACTGGTGTATGCACATTTCCTTGACATCGAAGATGCTGGCAATATTCTTCTTCAGGTCCACCATTATGGGCTCGAATCTGGTAGTTGAGCATGTTGAAGATCATCCCTAGAAGTTGTAAGTAGTCCTAATCTTCATACTGGAACATCTTACTTCTAGTGGTAGCAAGACAATAAAGATTCAAAGTCAAAAAAAAAATATGCAAAAATAACGAGTTCTTAAACGTGACGAGACTACATAGTTGTACGTGGTGCCAGAAGGGTTATAGCCTATAACAATAGGCGGTAAAATAAAATACAATGCCTCGCTTTCCTCTAGTGCCTTTTTGTTTATCTCCTCTTTCACGCTTTCCGGCACTAAACGCCAAATAGAGGGCCAATATTTTTCACCTATTTTCTGAAGGATTTTCGCATGACACTCCTGCAAAACCGGATGCAGACTCTCGAAAAAGTCATCTGGTTTTAGTCGGTCCACGATTTCTTCGATGGTGATAAGGTTCCCAATCATGATGTCGCAGCTCCTCTGCGCCATCACTTCGGCTCTTCTTGGTACTATTCCTTGCCAACCTAGGTATGGTTCGAAGCAGCCGTCATTTAGAGGCTAGGAAACTGAGCTAGGTATTAACTGTTTTCTTGTATCGTTTTGAGGACGCAATTGAGGAGACAGGAGCATATTTAAGACTAAACTACTCCAGTATAATAGCCATGCTTCATCTGCAGCTATTTTGAAGCTTACATGATGCGAAGATCTTCGTGTGGTCGTTTTTCTAGGACCACAGTTTGTAGCCCCCGCTCTGCTAGTTTTTGTTAATACTACACGACTATACTCCCCTATATAGGATGAAAATGACTGGATGGAGGGACTCTACTCCACTACCCCCTGAATTTTAAAGTCTAAAGTATGACCAAACTTCCAGCAGAACGACAGCCATAACTTGAAATGTACTGGGTAAAAGCACATCTGTAGACCCAGCCAAACGTGCCACCAGGTGAATAGAATCGATACCACTGGAATCGACGCATATTTTAGGTCTTCGTAAAACTCACGAGTGTTCCCTTTAACCAGAAAATCGACAAGGACGAAGATGACGGAGATTAAAAGGTGTAGTACTAGTCAGTCACTATTCCTGGTGGCTCCCCTCGACTATGACTTCCAAGGGGAACAAGCCACTCAGCATATTAATCCACTCCACGTGAGAAGATAGTGACCGATTCCCATGACTAGCCTTAAGAAGAGGATGATAGTCGTCGTGAGCCAGCCTTTGAACATATGTCGTCTCACAAATTGGAACCATCTTGGATATGGTTTTTGCTGTACTCCACTTTGAATGCTTCCACTCATTGAGAGTGTCGATATGGGAATGGCGTTCCCCTTCTTTAATATTGAGCACTTCATATTCTACTTGGGAACGACATTCCCCTATAACTTGGATTCCCAATGAGTGGCATCATACACACTTGTTGTCGACGAGTCCCCTGTTGACGCAATAACAACATCTTCAAGGTCGCGAGCACCTCCTGGACCCGCTACTGCTGCGATCCCAGCGCCGCTTCCACACTTATCCCTATGCTCAGCTTCCACCGCTTCGACTGCTACTCCCGCGTCTAGGTGAGGATTTACTTTATTCGCGCCAGAGGAGGTGGAATCTCCAGCCTTTGAGGTTTCTGCGCCAGACGTTGAGAGCAGAAGAGGGTCTTAGAGCTACCGCGTCGCGTCTTCCTCATGAGACTATCTTCCTTGGGCACGTCTTTTTCCCCTTGAAAAAAAGGCCCAGGGTGAGCATGCTGAGGAGGCAGCTCTCTGTCCTTGCCTTAAGGGTCAGCTTTTCCTCCTACACCTCTTCCTCTCGATGTAGGTGAGGATGGCATCTTCTTATGTCTTGTTGTCCCGTCTGGGTTGAGGCGTTGCTTGTTCTTCCGCTTTCGTGTAGTTGCTTGTGGTTCTGATGTGTGGCCCGATATTTCCCCTTGATGATGATGATTGATGACCACCTGCCAAGGAACAATGAACAGACGCTTACTTCTTTCTTCACAAGTTTTTCTTGTCTCGTCTTGCTGTAAATCAAAAGGACCACTATGTCCTCTACTTCTCTGACTTGTTGTACTAGAGCGGCTTCTAGCTGTCTCTTTTCTACTTCTACGACTGGTTCAACATCTACCACTTTGGTGCCGCGTTTCTTCTACGACTGATGATCTCAAAATGTTCTTGATGTCCTTGTAGTACCTCCAGCAACATCTTCGTTCTTTCTCGACGGGCTGCAAAAACCCGTAGCATAACGTTGAGGAGGTGGAGTCGTCCATCCCAAGAAAAAATAGTTGTAGTTCGTTGTTGTATTCTCAAAGAGGAACTCGCTCTCCACTACAACAGGAGCTCATAATACGTGACCGTGGCTCCATCACAACACGAGCTCATAATACCTGATCGTGGGACCGACTCGTCTATGATCATCATCTCAAATCCCGAAGCAGCCCACCACAGTAAGCACTTGCGTTTGGGCTCGCCGCACGCTGCTGCTCTAAGAACAGCAAGAACTAAGAAAGTGAGTGTAGTTGTAACATTTTTTTGAGAACACATTGGCAACTCTGTCCATGCTATCTTCCAACGACGTGCTAGCTCGAAGGCCATCTAATCGATAAACAAGCAGCACAACCACGAGCAAGAACAAAACTATGATCTCTAATGTCAGAACGACCTGTGTTTACGGAAACTGTGTTGATCCTACCTGCAAGTCACTTGTCCGTCATCTTTCTCGATGCTGATGTAGTTCGAATAATCAGTAATACTATGATGTATTAGTTTCAGCTGTCCCTCACCGGTCATGGGACGAGACAGCAGCACAGCTACTCGTCCACAAAATAAAACAAGCGTGTCGCTACTATTTCCTAGTTCTGTTCAATTCCATTTTTTCGAGCGAGTTCCTATACATCCTCACGAAGGAGTACTTCTTTATGAAATAGTTAATCAAGAGTCCATGCTGAATAGTCAATCAGTGCGAGTGTCTGCTCTGTTTCGCTTTCCGGTCTGCTACTTTGTTGAAAAATGGCAACCGATTTCGATTAAAACAACTACTACACGGAGATCTATTAATGATGATGAAGAATGTTGGACTAGACGCTGACTAACTCTAACAAGGTCGTGTAGGTGACTAGTACTACAAGTTTCTCAAAACGGCGATCGTAGAGGACACTCCAATTATATGGCGTTTCACCTTGCAGTCATTGGTCTTACACATTTTCACTATAGTGCGCGCCTACTCATGTGCTCCTGTAGTACACAATGATGCTTACACATTTTGATTAAGTAATATATACCCAAATAAATGAGGCACTGCTTTACCAATGCTAGTTGGATGGAAATTGAAGGACTACAACACAAAGACCTACGACACAGGCAAGACAGCTGCCGGACTACTAATAGGCCAATAATCTTGAACCGGAAACGCCTACAGTGCTGTCCTGTTTGTTTTTGCACCGGAACGGATTGGAGCAGCAAAGTAGTGAAGGGCCCATACGCTCATAAAAAGGATACAAGATATTACTTAATCTACTAGTACATAAATAGAAGCCACGCATCCACAACTACAAATACTGTACAGTTTTCCCAATAGTTCTAAAATATATCAACCAGTAACATTGCGTCTTCTAATAGTTCACCTGTATTCTTTCTAAAAATCCTGACTCTATTTCTCTAAATCACACCTACAAATTTTTCACTTTTATATACTTTCTTACCCGCCGCCAGCGCCACCTCCTCTTCTTTCCAAGTAAGTATAGAAAAGAAGCTACTTGTTCATCTACTAATCCTATTGCATCTTCGCTCAAGAAGATGCCTCTTCGCCCAAAGTCGAAGATGCCTCTACTCCGCCTAAACTGTCGCCCTTACTCGAATCTTGGCCACTCCTTTGTCTTGTTAAAAATATTTAGAAGATGAGGCGCACAAGAACTGGTAGTTTCATCATCCAAAAGCAGAGAATAGAGAGAAGAGCTGAGTGCGGTAGTTGATGTTTTTGTACTTATATCTCAGGATCCCTGGTGTCCACTCATACATCGAGAAGCTCGACTAGGATCATGCTCATCATCATGTTCATGATATTGAAGAAGATGATGATCTTCAGTAGAACTACTAGAAGGATCTTCATGCTCATCTTCATATTCCTTGAGATGAAGATGTATCTATATGTTGAAACAAGTAGTACTCTCGCCTGGGTTGTCTTTGATCATGATTGACATATATCTTCATGATCACTGGAAGAAATTGATAACTAGAAGTCGAGTACGACGCACCTTAACGAGCAGTAGCGCGAAAGTGGCCGCGAAGATTACTGCGCTTTTGGGATCCCGACGTCGTTGTAGCCACGTCGTCCTCGTCCTGGTCGCGCATTAGAGCTAATCAAATGCAGCACTGACACTGAGGACTTACTTATGTATGATAGATATGATAATCTTTATTCTTCCCAGGGCTACAAGTCACTAGCCTCAACTTTTGTGTAGTTGAGGAGGTTCTCGCGGTCAACTTCTTAGTGGCGTAAAAAATAGGCTAGAGGAAAACAGCTTATTTCTTTATTGAGGTTCTCCTCATCAACTTGTTGAACACAGTAGACTACTATATTTTCTGTTCCAACTGAGTCCTCTGTGAGAAAATCATATCATCCAGCTCGTGGCCGTGGAGGAGTGACTTTTATTACATACGGTCAACAAGAAGGCGAAGCCAATGGTCGTAGTCAACATTTCCAATCAATGATGAAGATGCACCAAGTCATGATATGCTTAAATGGATCTGATGGACGACAACTAGACTGAAGGGATACATATAAGCATAATTCGAGGAACGAAGGTTGTCTGGCACTTTCTTGGCTGTCGAGACCTGGAGCTGTCTCGGGAGTTGGCCTAGTAAGCGGGGAAGCTGCGGGCGCAAGATGATTCGCGGCTTCGCTGTTCTCGAGGGTTGATTGTCCTCGTGAAGCGTCAACAAAAGACAACTGCTCCACGAAGCTACTCTTCGTCGTCCTCCAATCCTCGCTCAACTTCTCCAGCGCCTTGATCAACGCACCCAAATCTCTCACAGATTAGACCTCCGACTCTCATCGTCGACTAATATTAAGCTGTGTCTGTGAGTACATAAGCAAGCAGGCACGGGTACCTCACCTACACATCTGAAGTGTTCTTTTGACAAGCACGGAAGATGATGGGGCCCATACAGGTGGTCTACTTGCTCACGGCCCCTAGCCCTAGGCGCTTTTTCCACACATGATCAACGGGTCAAGGCTACGGCACCGCTAAGCACCGTGGAGCCCCGGGCCCCTTTTGAAGGCGTCTGCCGGGGGTGGAAAGCCTCAAAAGGGGGCCAAGGGGCCGGCACCGCTCTCTTCCAGCTGCCTGGCTGCTTCCTACAGGCCTCCGATGTAGGAAGGTGGAAAGCTTCAAAAGGGGCCCAAGGGACCGCCCCCGCCGCCTTCAAGGTGCCTGCCTGTGCCCTAAATGCCTCCGATCTGCTTCGCCGCGAGGGGCCGGACCCCCTGAGCCGTGCGGCCTGTGCCCTCCGGGCCCTTGGTCATCGGCTTGCTTGCTCTTGAGACCGTGGCCGCCTTCGGCGGCCTCTCACCCCGGAGGCCTCCAGCCTGCGAGGGGCAGCAGAGGACAGGAGGCCCCTGAGGAACCTGAAGAGACGCGCAAGGAGACGCCTGCGCCCAGTTTTGACGCCTTCCACTACTAGACCCCGCGAAAATCAGCGCGGAAAAGTGCGCGCGAGCGCCACCGCAGACCATACCACAGGGGGGGGGGGCCGTGCAGCCCTAAAACATATATAGTCATTTATCTTTATGCACATATTTATACTAACTAATACACTCCACGGCACTTCCCTGGCGGGGTAAGTCAATGGGACCGCATAAAGGGGCGGCCCCATGGAACCGCATGGCAGCCATACCCATATGAGGAGTGTGACGCGGGAGGGGGCACCAGCGTGGCAAGCGACGGCGCAACGCGCTGAGAAGCGTGCCGCGCGAAGGTAAGAGCAGGAGCCTGATTCCTGAAGGGGGGACGCCCGTTGCACTTATTATATTAGCCACACCCCTCTGCGGCCGCTGGGTGGCAGATGGTCGCTATCTGGAACTACCCGCCTAGGAGCTGCCTGAGCTCTTCTATCAGCAAACGATGGCGCACTCATGTTGGTCCAGGCATCCTCAACCTGAAAGCGTAGCACTTGCGCTCGATCACATCATCAAGCTGCGCGCTCTAATCGATTTGCAGCTTCGTTCGCGATCTGGATCTACGTGAGAATCTATCTTGATAATCGCAACGACCATGACGCCGCGCGAGTGGATCGCCCCTTACCTTAGTGGCTAGAGTTGTTGAAACACGGCGCCCCGTTGCACGTTTGGCACCGTATCCCACTCACCAAGGCCATAAACAGTCAGAGACCTCACGGCGCGCCTCGCGCTTGGTCGTGTGGCGTGCTACTGTTTACTCCACACTCCGGCCCGCCCTCTTCTTGTGCTCTCAGGCATCTCTTGTTTGCGTGGCGTGTTGTGTTCCTGTGTATCCAACACCACGCAACAGAGCAGCAGACGCATAAAAGCAAAAACAAAGGGAAAGGAAAAAGAGCGCGGCCCCTAGAACAAGTAGCACTTGTAGTAGTACAATTGGGAGAAATGAAATCACTTTTAGTAAGTATTACAATTGGAGAAGCAATCCATCGTAATGACCATGATCGCAAGTCAGCGCGTGAGGCAACAGTCCATCTTTGAGGAAGGTCGCGATCGCCTTGGTCCTTTCCTCGTCTTCTCCGTTCGCTTTCGCTTCCGGAAGAACTACAGCATCAGATTAGTATTAGAGGTAGCCGGCGCAGCGCTAATTCTTCATGATTTTCATCACATGGAGGACAAACACAAAATTACACGAAGATGAACGAGTTCCACCACCTCCGGCAGCCCTCAGGGTCAAGGCGACGATCTGCATTTTCTAACAGATATTATTGTACTGAGCAGTAACCCTAACCATAAAGAGCAGCATCCAAGGCCTTTTTCACTAGTTGTTCATCAGGACTCGCATTTTCCCTGCATGCGCTAAGGTCTCTCGACCACTTTTCCAAATTCAATTTCAAATCTTCGCCATTGTCAAAATTCCAGCGCAGGGCGGTCGTTAGCGTATCGTAGACGGCTTCGACGACAGCACTTGCACCTGGGGCTGGAGCTGGAGGACGTTAGAACTTTCATTGTTGCAGACTTCACGTAACAAACAAGAGTAATCATAAAAAGTGCACTACCTAGTAAAGAAACTCTACGCCGTCTAATTCCACTTCTAAAATCAATAAAAGTATGCGTTATAAGAGCTTCTAAAATCAATTATAAAAGTATGAGTTATAAGAGCTTATAAGCCCCAAC